AGCTGGTGGGTGGATACGCGATCGAACGATCTGTCTTACTCCAGGTGGGAACTAGACCACCGAATACTGTGTACGAGAAAAAAAAAAAAAAAACAAAATAAAAAAACTAGGAACTATCGGTACGTACCGGGAAAGACTAGTTCTGCGCCAGCTTCCTTTTGTCGGCGAGTCAATACCTTGGTCTATTCCGCGGTGAAGTTCTCCGCTCCCTTCCCCTCCTGGACTGTACTCAGTCGTAACTTAGTCCACAATAAGACTTGACTGGCCATGGTGGACCGCCCGCAGGAGGGGGCCGGGGTGTGCTTAAATGCCAACCGATGCAGAAAAAAAAAAAAAAAAACCTGCTTGAGAGTCGAGACACCTGCCCTGAGAGCCTAGACACAATGCTGGACAAAAGCTTAGGTTGGTTGACCTCCATTCTCCCTCCCCTTTTATGACTTGACTACGAATCTGTCTCTCAACTTTGGTGGTAGTATGGTGGTTCTCTTCCTACCGGGAGTACGGAGAGTCTCCCGGTAGTTCCCACTAGTTTAGTGAAAGCTGCAACCGCTGAACCCGAACCTGGCTGGCCTGGAGCCGAAACTACTCAGTACCTATATGACCTGTATTATTACTCAGACTCTCAGACTCCTATGAGCGGATCCGATTCAGCTTCCCTTAAATCCCGACGCTAAGGATTTCGATTTCGATCTGTCCACCCTTCCCGACGGCTCGGGCTCGGGTCCGATGCACTCTCCAGCGCCGCCGGGCTTTGACGGTACTTTTGCATCATTTTTCTTAGTGCCTCCTATTATTACTTCTGTCAGTCCACACTCCACAGTAATAATTTGCCATCTATGGCAAGTTACCTCATCCACCCAAGGCCATCTTCGGTAGCCTCTTTTTTGCCCCCTTAGTTCTTCTACGAGTTAATCTAACGAAGGAAGATCAACTTATTAAATATGACAGATGTCAGACCGTCTAGATAAAGACTAAGATGCAACTGAAATGGATCTAGATTGGGTATATGCAAAGCACACCACTAGATTTACAGAAATGATATGTACAATATGACTGGTGCGAAGTCTATACAAGGTATACACAAACCGGCTTCTCGACCGATTGTCCCTTCCCGTCACTCAATTTGGGTAAAGGCGTATGCAGTAGCCATGCCCAAAGAAGAATCGCGCAGTCCCAGTCATGTCGGCGCTTGGGCCAAGAACTGCCGCAAATCCTGGGCGTGTCGCAGGGACCATCCCGGGCAGGCATGGGGTTCGGACCGAAGCAATCGGGCAAACTAGGCGACCCAGTGGGCACGCTTGGCGGGTCGCCTTGGGAGGACATTCAGCTCAGTTGGCATGGTCAATTCCCGAACACCTGATCTGTTTAGGGGTTCGAAGGAACTAGATCTCAATAGCCACGTCGCAACCCCGGGAACGGCTATGACAGGTCACAGACGGATGCAAGTCCACTCCGCCGAAACGTACTTTTGTCTCACGCTTGGGCGATCAACTTCAATAGTGGCCTGTGCCATACATTAAGGAGGCCGGGGAGCCTCCGATGACTGCGACAAGGGCCTTCTACGCTCGGACAAAGCCAGGCTGTCCATGGAAAGGGCTGTCCAGGGATATCGCGACTGCGTGTGCGCGCTGGGCGGAGCTGCTCGCGTGACATCGCCCGTGATCTGCTCTGGGTCCACGAAGTTCGGGAAGTCATCCTGATCGGTCGAGCTGGATTCTGACGGGCGGGTGTTGACGAGCGAGACAAGTTTTCGCAATACTCCAAACTCCAGCTTCAGTTTGACGCTGTAGACAGCGGCCTTGAGCGTGGTCTGGAGGGTGTACAGTCCCACATACTCCAGCACGAGGAGGGACACATCCAACAAGACAATGACCATATTGATCGCAATCAACTCGTACATGCTCTTGTGTCGTTGCGGATCCTTTTCCGGCCGCAACCGGAGTAAATTGATTGTTTCAACGATGTAGATGCCGGAGATGAGAATCTCCTGAGCGCAAAACCAGGCCAGCTGCATTCGCTCCATCACATTGTACCCTCTGATGATCGCCGTGGAGCCAATGTAAATAGTGCTATAGGTAAGGACAGTCGTAGGAATGAGGAGGATAATCGCATCAATGATGATCATGGCGAGAACACGTCGAAGGGTCGTTTGGCTTTGTACCACCAGATGAAGACGAGAATATAACACAATGGATTGACCAGGCACCATAAAGTAGAATCCGATTGTCGAAAGAGTGACCGCAAACCACAATGGGCCCACCGCGAAAAATTCCAGCAAATAACCAACCGCGTGGGGAATGACCCCGAGTACGTCGGACAGAAGCATGCTCCAAAAGTAGAGTCCACTGTAGCGAGTGAATGTGAGAAAAATGAGAATAACGAGTTCGACTGCATTGTAGAGGGCAATGGCACTGAAGACAGCCATCAAGATCTTGATCACGAGGCTGGACCCTTGGTAACCTCCGATGAGGCCCTCCGGTGGGTTGGAGAGAGAGTCCCACATGACGACAAAGGAAAGACGCTGATACCACCACGGCTGCCGGTCACCGTTCGACAAAAGGGAGGGAGGGGCACTGGTAACTGTGGATCGCGAAAATATCGTGAGGTCCCGGGGCACAGGGTCAGGCACAGCAGTATAATATGCGAAACTAACGTTGGCCCGCTTGACAATTCCAGAGAGCCATGGTCAGGGGCAATGCAGCGCAGGAGTTGGATGGGAAGCCTGGAGGGTCGAAGCGCAGTCTCATTCGCATACTTGAGTTGTTCCAGACCTGACGACTGACCAGCTGATCGGGCGCAATACGCTCGACCACCCGGATTGGTCGGGTAGGGTGAGGAAACTGCCTCTTGCTTGAACCTCAACCAGTGCTGTCCGAGCGTCTTAAAAGTCCGAATAGCGGCGAGATTCGCCCTCCCAGCAGCCGAACTGAAGGTTTCTATTTATGTGCCTGAACGGTGCGCTAGTGGCAGGGGAAACGCAGTGGCGGCAAATGCTGGCGTTCCTGCAGAATGAAGGGGGAGAACGGGCGGCCTCGGATGAACGCGACGCAAGTGAGGATTGGAGACAGGCTGTGAGATGGCGCTGCTGGAAGGTTTATTTGAACTCAATCCCCCAAGGGAGGAGGGGAAGCAAGAGATTTGAGGAAAAGGAGTTCCGACCGGGGAAAGGAGAGAGGAAGTCTGGAACAGGAACTGGAGAGAGAAGATCGAATTGAAAGCGATCCCCCTTCCCACTCCAGACGACGGGAGGGGTGAAGACCAGTCGCCACCGGCTATTTGTACTGTACGCTGTGAACTGATGGCTGCGATAGATAAGAAAACGGAATGCGAGGAGCGGCGGGAGGGTAAACCGGGGAGAAGGTGAATTGAAGGTACAGTGGAAATTGAGAAGAGGATGGAAAAGAGAAGAGCAGACAGTAGGGCAAATATCAAGGCAGAGTGAGGGGAGGGGAGGGGGGGGGGGGGGGGAGAAAGTCCGGGGTTGGGAAGGAAGGATTGATTGATGATTGAGCCTATGATGGGCGATGATGATGATTTCTCCTGGAATGAAGAAGACAGACCGGGCCTGAGAGACCAGGCCAGCCACTGGCGTGCCTCGTTACTCAGGCCGGGCCAGTCACATGGCTGGCAGCCGTGCCTTTTCCCTGGTTCTCTCCCCTCTTCACCACCTCCAGGCTTCCATGATCCATTCCCTTCTCCCATCTTCTTCGCTTTCTGGATCGGTTCGGAAATATCTACGCCTTGTTTTCGCCTTCGCTTCTCGTCCGAGACCTTGACTCTCCTGAATCTCCTGACTCTCCTGACTCTTCCGACTCTCTGTTAAAAGAGTTATATGTCGCCAAGATAGATTTCTCCGTGTTTCAACCTTGATTCCATTCCATAGTGTCCGTCGGATTCACCCGATGCCAGGGCTCGATCGATAGCGTGGGCCACCATATGTCAAGGGATAACTTTACGACTGTCGCAAAAGTCTAATGGACATATGTAGTGCGAAATGTGTGAGCCAGCCTACTTACTCAAAGATTCAAAGAGGTCAAATGCGCCCGATCAGTGAAATTATTGTATTTCATTAGCTTGCGGGGCCCCGCCTGGCATTGACTCTTAATCGATGCACCCCAGTCTCCAGGCCTAGAACCGTCCCCCTTGGACGAACACCGTAAGGGTCTCGACACTGATCCACAACTTGCCACGCGAAGGCCACGCTCTGCAGGTACCATGACATGAAAATGCTTCATACATGTTACAGCACGACACCGCTCATACCAGCCTCTCCCACTAATCTTACAAAGACGGCCGGCCCTTGCAGTCTATGATTGGCGGATGCTGATCTCGACTCAAAGACATGATCCTTCTTGTCACAGACACGGTGTTAGGATCTCGCAGGGGCGATGATCTCCCTTGAGATGCCACATCCTTACTATCAATTTGAGGATTGAATCTTATCAGCCGGAGAAGGTTGTTGCGTTGCGACGAGCACCCGAGTGATCAGACACTCTGGAACTTGTTAGTACATATTTCAAATATCGGCCCCATCCAAGACTGTAGTTATTAGAGGACTGAGCATAACTTCACCGTGTTCGTCGTGGAGACAGCTCAACCATCTTTCCGGTGCTATGGTCGCTTGTGATGATGTGGACCCATGGGTGCCCCGTTCTCATGCACCATCTCGGCGACTGCGACTCGATTGGCTATTTGTTTCAAGGTCATTATTGAGGTTATCGTTCACTCCAAACTTTTCGAATGCGACCCGGCACGATTTAGCAGCCGCAACATATCATCCTTTGAAACAGCCGAGTCTGGTTTGACGCCATGGAGCCAGCTTACGATGGTATCACACCAGACCATCGACATGTTTCGCAACCAATATGCCTGGTAGAATTTAAGGTTAAGAAGATGATGCATCTCTCAGAGCAGTGCAAACTGGAATACTTCCCGGGCCGCTTTCAGTGCTTGTCGTTCAGTGCGTTCAGTGCGATACCTGGGATCGCCCCTAATTCGCAGAGTGCCCCATTATTGGGCCATTTCTCTATGATGCACTTCCCGGGTCCTGACGTGCACAGGGAAACTTAATCTCGAACCACCGGGATTCTCAAGGGAGATGAATAATACCGTGTGCATCCATCTCTTTGCCAAGGCGGTGCGGGGAAACTAGTCGTGATGCCGCGGATCGTCATGGATGATTTCTCAACAATGGAGCTCTCATACCTTGGCGCGGTTCCATCTTCCCCATCGTTGTCTCTCATGAGTGACGATCTTCCCTGGTCCGGCTCATCTTCAGGCTCATGCTCTCGATCACCAAGTGGGTCATGGATGACTGAAGGTGACGATCGCCCCGACAGCCTTTGTTGCACACGATAATCGCCGTCGAACATCTCCCCTCACCGCCGCAATTCCCCAAAAAGGAGAATCGTCGTAAAACTTATAGCATAATCAGTGCCGATGTTGTAGGACGAGCGGGGTCAGACTTTGTCCCCTCTCGTCGATCGTATCCAAAGCCCTGACTCGCTAGTCAAGCACGGTTTTGCGCCAGCTCTTTATAAACCAGGACACCCGGCAGTGCGGGGGTGCCACTGCTCATTGAAATTAAGCTGCGCAAACTGAAACTTGCTTCTTCTGTTTCAATCGGCTTGGAGACTTACGACAGTCAGCTCTTGATTTAAAGCCAGAAATCGCCGATGAACCATACGTGGGAGTTCGTCGTAGTCGGGGGTGAGTGCCATGAGGATCGTCATTTGCTCGACCGACTGACTGGAGACAGGGGGTCCGGCGGGCTGTGCCCTTGCTTCGACGCTCGCTCGCTCCGCTAAACACCCACGAGTCCTGCTGCTGGAAGCCGGCCCGCGGAATGAGGATATTTCTCTCCGCGTGGATGGTCAGCGATGGTCGACGTTTCTCCAAGGAGATCTGAACTGGGGTTACAAAACCACGCCCCAGGAACACTGCAATGGACGACAGATCGATTACTCGCGCGGCAAGGTGCTCGGAGGCAGTAGTGCAATCAATTTTGGCGTCTACACAGTGGGCGCCCGTGACGATTATGATCAGTGGGCCGCCCTCGTCGGAGACGAGGCCTTCGGCTGGGAGCGCATGAGGAGGAGATTATGCGGCCTCGAGACCTTTGATGGCGCTATCGTTGACCCGAGAAATTTCAAATACGCGTCTCCCCAAGCCGTGAATCACGGATCTACTGGTGGTTTGCGGGTGGGCTTTGCTCGTGAGTGGGAGCAGGATCTCCCGCTCATGCTGGACGTGTTCGAGCAGGCGGGCCTGGCTCGAAACCCGGACCACAACTCGGGCGACCCGATCGGCATGGGCTTGATTATTAACTCATCTCACAACGGTCGTAGAGTGACCGCGACGGATCTTCTCGAGGGTGTACCGGACAATTTGACGATCATCACGGAAGCGCCCGTGCAGCGGGTGATTTTGGAGGGGACCAAGGCTGTAGGTGTGGAGTCAAACGGAAGACAGTGTATGCTTAGGTTGTTGCATGAAGTACATAAGTACCCAGCTAACGCGCCTCCGCAGATTTGGCCTCCTGCGAAGTGATTCTGACCGCAGGCTCATTGGACACGCCGCGCATCCTGATGCATTCAGGTCTCGGGCCTGCTGACCAGCTTCAGCAGTTCCAGATCCCCGTCCGTAAGCATATCCCTGCCCTGGGCAAGGGCCTGCGGGATCATTTCTTCGCCCCGTTGTGCTTCAAACGCGATCCCGCAACCAACGACCGCAATGCATTCTTCAACGATCAAGCCGCCATGAAGACCGCCATGGCGCAATGGAACAAGGACGGCACGGGGCCCTGGGCGCGGCATTCGTGCCAGATCGCCGCCGGCTGGCTCAAGTCCAACCGGCTGGTGCGGACGGCAGAGTTCCAGGCTCTTCCCACCGACGTGCAAGACTTCCTGCAACGCAAGACGGTCCCGCACTACGAGTTCCTCACGCATTTTCCTCTGCATCTCGTGGCGCCGGAATGGCCGCCGGATTACAGCTACATCTGCATGCTGGTGTTCCTGATGAACGAGCAATCCAGCGGCGAGGTGCGACTGCAGTCCTCCAACCCCAACGTTCCGCTGTTGTTCGATCCTAAGTTCTTGTCGCATGACTTCGACCGCCGCGCCTGCATCGAGATTTTCCGCGATGCGCTGGAGGTGACCCGCCACCCATCCTTCCAGAAAGACGTGGTCGAGACGGTGATCGCGCCGGCGTCGGACTCGGACGCGGATATCCTGGAGCACTGGAAGAACACGCTGGGGTCGAGCTGGCACATGACGGGGACGGCCAAGATGGGTCGCCCGGGGGAGGCCGACGCTGTAGTGGACAGCCACTTCCGGATGCTGGGGATGGAGAACCTGCGCATCGCGGACATGAGCGTGGTGCCGGTGTTGACGAACAACCATACGCAGGCGACCGCGTACGTGACGGGCGCCACGTGCGGCGAGGTATTGGTAGGGGAGTATGACCTGGACCGGGAGGTGGCACGGCTATAGCGGAAGGTATATTAGCTTTGAAGTGGTTAGCCCATAGTATTTGCAACGAATGCATATTCTGAATACTCGGAGCCCTCCAATTATACATCGAAGCCATGCTATTGAAGAAGAATCCAATACTAGAAGTGGTGCCATCGAATCCTTGGCATCATCTCTGGGATTCCATATCCATATCAGACTGCGGACTTGGACGAGGGTCAGAGTTGTAATAAGGTTCAGCTGATATCAAACAGGTTATAACTAAAACAACCAATTATGACCATTGGCCATCAATGTAAAGCTTAGCTGTCAATAACAGATTTGGTAATCAGACCAAATATAATGATGGCATCACGAGAACTATCTATAATTTCAACTTATCTATGACTGACATATTACGATTTGTGAGCTGGCTTGCCAACAGCTGTGTGAGGTTGGTAGAAACAATATTACATTAATTGCCACTACAAACAATTGTACATAATCCTTTCGGCGGTTTAAAGGATTCTAAACTAATCTTCTACAAGATCAAAACTAGTTTCAAACTCTTAAGCACTGCATATAGCTGTTCACAACCATTGTAAACTAGCTCGCAACTAGCTCGAAACCTCCAATTCCGAGGCACTTTTCCCACTATGCATATTAGACTGTGCTAGTCCATTTGCATATGATTTGTTAGGGCTTGGTCATTGGCGGTATATATAGCAATGTCCAATTGAAGTAGGCTATATCCACTTGAAATAGTCTCTACCTAATCTATATCAGACATATGTATAGGGATTTAGGAAATACAGATGCTAGGATTATGAATAGAATAACCCTATAAGCTCTCAGAAGTATGTCATCGACAAAGGACGCTTCTGCGATGCATATGTTAGTGTAGAATACAAAGTGCCGGAGTTCTGTCCAGGTTAGAAGACATAATAGACACACTTTGAACCGTACGCCAAGCGACACAGAATAGGGACCAAACTTTTACATTGATATATGCAGGGGAGAAGCTGGATTTACATTTTGACGTATTGCACCGTGGACCTGGATATATGAGTATGTTGATGACGTCTCTGGTCCAAAGAGGCGGCCGTAGCAGATCGCCGTAGTGGTGGCTATAGTACCCCTTAGTACCGAGGCTTACTTCTTGTTTTCCGACGTTATCTCTCACCTCTCGCACCCACTTAACATGCCAAAAGTTCACTGTACTTTCATCATATTTTGAATAATGTCTTCAATCGCAAAGCATGATCAAGTGATATCATACCCAGCTCCTTTTTTTAAATCCAGTTTGACTGCAGGTAGCTGCCTTGTCGCTCTCGTGTGTCAGAAGCACTGGCGGCTCCTCCCTGCTCCCTCCAGCTTGCAGGGAGTTTCGTCTCTACTAAGTCTATAGATGCAATAGGCTGATCACCCACAACCAACCACAACAGTCGTCTCAGATGCAAAGCCACCGTCGAGCATTGAATCGATGAGATTGGCTTCTGCTTTCCACCTACACCCCCTTCAAATCTTCCAGCCTCCGCCCTGCCGCCACAGCATCAGCCGCACGATGGCGAAGCAGATGGTTCCGGCGGCGACGAACATAGCACTGAAAAGCTGAGCCTTCCAGAAAGATCCTTCCTCCAGGTTCAGCAGCAGCGAGGCGATCGGCGTGCCGATCAGAAACCCGCAGCCGGCGAACATGAAGATCATGCCCAGGCGCGTGCCCACCACGCCCAGGGTCGGCGACATGCGCGTCAGGATCGAGGGCGGCAGGGAGACGATCGCCCCAGAGGCGTAGCCGTACAGTAAGGTGAAGACGATGGTGCCACCCTCGTTCCGGATGGCGATCCACACAAAGGCCAGGATGCTGGCCAGCAGACTGATGGGCACCAGGGTGTTCAGCCCCCCGATGCGGTCCGCCAGGAGACCCGGGGTGATGCGGCCCAGCACGGAGGCGGCGTTGAGCACGGCGAAGATATAGAAGGCCAGGCTGCTGTCATTGTGCAGGTAGTAGGTGAAGAAGCTCTGCAGGTAGAAGAAGGGGAAGTAGAGCCCCACAAAGCTGAAGAACAGGCCAAAGGCAAACACGAGGAACGGCGGCTCCTTGAGCGCCGTGACGTCGACCAGGCTTCGGCTCTGCGCCGGCGGCGGCAGGCGCCGCTTCAGCACCGCCAACGAGATGGCCAGCCCGGCTAGCGCGACGAACCCAATGATGCGCGTCGTCCACCCGAACCCCACCGGGCCGATTAGTTTGTGGAACATGATCGGGTAGATAACCGCGCCAATGCTGCCACCGGACGCCGTGATCCCCGTGGCCACGGCGCGGCGTGAGGTGAAGTAGGTGGCCACGATGGCGATGCTGGGTAGGAAGAGAAAGACACAGCCGATGCCGACCGTGACTCCGTGCGCCAGGAAGAGTTGGTAGTACTTGGTCGAGAGTGAGGTCATCATCATCCCGAACACCACCATGAAAGTCCCCACAGCGACGATGCTACGCAGATACCCTTTGTCGAAGATGGGTCCAACAATCACCCCGACCAGCAACAAGGTAAAGCCTTGCACAGTGCCGATCCAGGTGATGGCCGACGAGGAGTAGCCGGGGATCAAGTCTGACTGGTAGTAGCTCTGGAAGACTCCATAGGCGTTGAGCAGACCCCTACGCGGCAGGAGAGGTTGTTTAGCACCAGGAGCCATGGAACAAACAATCTTGTTTCGGCAACGGCAGCCGGGGGGACCACCTACCAAGAGTTGAAGAACAGAAAAAACGCCGCGACGACTTGCAGCCACGCGGTCAGACCACCATCGGGCGGCGGCGGGGGAGCCGTGTCCGCCGGTTTGGCGGGCGCCTGCTTCTCCGTCTCTGAGGCTTCAGAATCGGCTATCAGAACAGCGGATGGAGAGGGCTTGTCGTCCGGGTTCGTGCTCAAGGATTGAGACATGGCGTCAGAGTGCAGTCAGTGTGGGAGGGAAGCATGCGGGTGATGCCGAACAAGACACTCGCTACCTGGAGAGTTCAATTATAGGGAAGCCATCTACGATGCCTTGAGGATTTGAATTTGTCAGCGAGGAGCTGTTTGTCGGGCTTACAACACCGAGCCTGCAGGGTTGGTGTGTTGTGACTCGCCAGGCCGTAAGAATTGCGTGATGGAACCTATTCTGAGCTGCATGGACTGATCGCGCATCCAGGGGAAAGAGCTAAGCAACTGCCAACCGTCTAGGCTTAGTGTGGGCTTACGGGAATCTGATCCCCGCGATTCTGTGGACTCTAGTGCCAGATTTGACCGCAGCGGATCTGTCTCATTGCACATGGAAATGAGTTCCCTGCCCATTGTCTGCGGACTAGTGTCTGCTAGTGCTTATTCCGTTGCGAGGCATATCCGCGGATCGACGGCACTTGGCGAGGCTTGATTGTGTCATCTTAAACGAGAATTTCGAAATTACATTATTTCATTCTCAATGGCACAGACGGAGAGAGTCACAGGAAAAGATTGGTAATATCCATGCCAGGGTCAATTACAGAGGCACGCCGCCGTCCCGCATCCATCGCTCCATCATCTCTCGCCGACGATGATGACTGCTTTACGTTGGCCAACCACTGTCTGCGCCTGACCCTGCACGGCAGCCACAAGCTCCTGCGCTTCGGCTCCAGCTTGCCAATGCAGAAATTTCAATGCGGGCGCCTTCAGAGTCCCCCGGCCGACCAGGCCCGCAAACCACTCGAACAGTGCCGTTTGCTGCGATTGACTGCGCTTGCTGAAGCAATTGCTCAGTCGAAAAGGTCGCAGGCTAATGTTTTTCTGCCACAGGAATTGCCGGAGATTGACCTCCGGTCGAGGGGGGGCCGTCCCTCCCAGGAACCCCGCTCAGCACGGTGCCTCCAGCGGTCATGGCCGCTGCCATCGTCCGCACTAACGCATCGTCGGCCACCGAGTCAATGGCGAGAACAATCCGCTTCCCTTCGAGGACCCGCGGCGCGGCGAGCTCCTCTTGTGTGAGCACTACTGAGGCCCCGTGGGAGCGGAGCAACCGCTTCATTCGCTCCAGCTCTTCGGCGTTGGCGCGATCGCGGATGACGCTGATGACCTGCACTCCCAGGAGCCGTGCCAATTGGCAGACAAAGTGACTGATCGTGCCGGTGGCCGCGTTCTGAATAATCCAGTCTCCCGGCTCCAGCGTGTGGTAGTCGCGTAGCTGGAAGAAGGCCGGAGCCACGCCCATGCGGAGCAGGGAGGCCACGCAAGGGTCGGTGGTGGATGGCACGCGGATGAGATCGGCCTCGTCGAAGACGCCATGAGTCCTCCACGTGCCCCGACAATGCGTGCGCAGGATGACGAGATCGTCAACCGCGAGGTGGTCGACCTCCGCCCCTGTCTGCAGGATCCGGGCCGCGCCATCCGATCCTGGAATGGCGTGTTGGACCCCATTCTCACTGTTATAGACACTCTGCAGCTTCACTGGGTACTGGCCTGCGATCACGGCAAAGTCCAAGGGATTGATGGGAACCACCAGGAATCGCACCAGGACCTGTCGTGGCCCGCAGGTCGGGAGCGGCAGGGTTTCGACATGCAAGTTGTCGAGAGGTTGCGCGCTCTCGAAGGGGATGACGAGGGCTTCGGCCATGGTTATCTTTTGTCGAAAGCAAATTAAAAAGGTTTGAAAGGGTGGGTGGGGGTTGTGTACTCGCAGGCAGCAGTGTACTTTGGGCTATGTACTCTTCTTAGTGCTGTGCCCGAGTTTCAAGTCGGATTCTATACCTGATCTTCGCAGCTGATTTGAGAAGACTGGCACCAACCATGAGGGAGTTGGACGGTGCGTAGTTGGTTTGACCAGTTCTGTTCTTATACTGAGACTAGCTAGGTAGACATGTAGGAAGATCGCCAATAGAAATCGAAAAATCCGATATGTTTTGTTTCTAGTGAACTAACCCTGGTTTCTTAGTAGTATGTATTCCCCCTACACCCGATACGCCAGAAGTCTAATATAAGGAGAGAGGCTACGTGGAACAGATCACTGACGACCTAACAAATACACACACCCTACAGCACAGCACAGCACAGCGCAGAACTCAACCCCCAACCAAAAACCCATCAATTAAATCCCAGCTAAACCTATAACTTATATCCACCTAGCTCACCCCACCCAAACCGAACCCACCCCCAAGCCCCCAAGCCCCAAGATAACCATATAACCCCCTCCCCAACCCCCCGCTCGAAAGTACTAATAAATATACCGGAAATGCAAATTCTCGCGATCGGTGCGATCCTCAAAGGCATGCGCGAGGTGATCCCCGGCCCCCGCGCCGGGGGAATCCAGACTGACGCCGGCCTCGCGCAGCAGGCGCTCCTTCTTCTTGTTCTGGGCGATGAGATGGAAGCGCAGGTAGATGACGGCGAGGGTCATGGCGGAGTAGCAGCCGAGGTGGACGCCGAAGGCGATGAAGTAGCGGGGGGCGTCGCGGGCGAGGAAGACTTGGGGGCCTGGTCGGGATCAGCGGGGTTAGCATTCAATCGTGAATGGGATCTCGGACGCTCTGGTGGGTGGTGGGGAAGAAGAGAAAGGGAAGGGAAAGGGAAAAGGAAAGGAAAGAAAAGCAGGGCAAAAAGACTCACCGATGGCATTCCCCACGGCCCACGAGACGAAGGTCGCCGCGACGACGGTGGACTTCTTGGTGGCGCCGGCGATGTTGCGCGAGACCATGGACAGACACAGGTTCTGGGCGGACCAGAAGGAGAGGGTGATGTAGTAGCTGATCAGCAGGCCGACCTTGGTGCTGAGGTTCTTGTTCTCGACGGTCATGAGGACGATGGTGCCGATGAAGGAGCTGCATTTTTTTTAGAAAGAGTTAGCATAACATAACCCTAACCAGCATCTTGCCCGCTATCCCCCGGTAAAAGATGGGGGCAACCCACGGAACAATAAACCCCAGCATGACCAGAATATTCTGGTTGTACCGCTTCACCAGGAACGCACTGGTCAGCAGCACGAAGATGATGTAAAACCCGAGCACCATCGCCAGCAGCTGCGTCTGCAGCTCGGTGAAATCAAACCCCGTGATGATGATGTTGGCGAACGCGCCCAGCCCGCTCGTCGGCAGCGTCGTGAACACCTGGATCGCGCAGTAGCAGTACATCTGCGGGTCCTGGAAGGCCTCCCACATCTGGTACGCGCGGAAGGTTTTATTCTGGAGGCCGGTCTGGTTGGCGCGCACGCGCTCGACCATCAGGTGCTTGTCCTCCTCGTTGAAGCATTTGGCCTTCATGGGGGAGTCGGGCATCCACCACAGCACGAAAAAGCCCCAGAGGACGGAGATGCAGCCGTAGGTCAGGAACAGGGCCTGCCAGGATTTGAGGACGGTGGGGCCGTGGCGGCCGATCAGGCTGAAGCAGTATGCCAGCAGCCCGCCGACGATCTGTTGGCCGCCGTTCATCATGTACCTGGTTTTATTGGCCTTAGCATGGGCATGGTGGTGAGGGTAAGGGAAAGAAAAGGACATACCAGTACGTCACGGTGGCCGCCTGCTCCTCCCGCTTGTACCACATACTGGACAGCAGGACGAAGGTGGGCTGGCAGGCGGCCTCGAAGATGCCCAGCAGGGTGCGCACGGCGACCAGGCCGGCGAAGTTCTTGCACGCGGCGTGCAGCGCCAGGATGGTGCCCCACAGGATGATGTTCACGCCCAGGTATTTGGCGATGCGCACGCGCTGGATGATCCAGTTGGTCGGGTACTCGACGATCAGGACGGCGATGTAGATGCAGGTCGTGAGCCAGGAGTACTGCCGCCACCAACCCAACGTCAGCTATCAGTAAACGCAGCCCACCATGCTCCAGGAAAAAACCCACCTCCTGCCCCTTCATCCCCGTGTCCGTGCGGATCCCCATGATCGACGCAAACGACATGGTCCCCTTGTCCAGCGCCTGCAGGAAATACGTCAGGATCATCACCACCAGCACGCGCCGGTCGATCATGCGCCGCAGCCGCCGGCTGGTGGCCTCGTCGACCTCGACCGCGCCGCGCGCCGCGTACGCCGCGATCTCCTCGTCGACGCGGGCGGCGTCGACCCCCAGCCCCTTCTTCAGGTCTTTGTCTGATGGCGAGAGCACCCGCTCGACGTGGGCGGTCGCCTGGGCGGACTTGTCTTCGTCGTTGGAGCCATGTCGGTGCGACAGGGTGGTGTCGGTGATGTGCTCCGCCATGGTTCGATGTCCACGGTGCGGAATAGTGTGGATGGACGCAGGGGGGGAGGTGAGATAAGGGGGTAGGGGAAGGGGGCAGGGGGACGCAGGTCTTTTACTTTATACGGTGTAGGGGTACTCCGTAGAGAACGTGACCTTGCCATCTCGTTTATTGTTTGCTTGGCCAATCCTTCGCGGGGGGTGAATTTCACGCCAATGAGGAGGGGATGTGTGGTGTAGTGTAGTGTAGTGTAGTGGTGGGAGGCGAATAGCCAGGTAACTCCTGGGTTGATGCATCTCGCTTAGGGTTGTGGTTGATTGCTACTCTGGGGTCCAGTTTTACCCCATGGGACAACCACAATACGCGGGGGCGGGTCAAGCCGCAGACCCTTTCCAGTGACAGGAAATTAACCGGCGGGAGTGAATTGACCCGAGAACGCGGGGAAAAAGTCTTGGACTGGAGCTTCGCACGCTTCGCACGCTTCGCTTGGGTGGGCAGACTGCACGAGGGCGCCAATCGCTGCTGTTTACAGAGGAGGGGTTGGACTTGGCTGGGGAGCGTGCTCGGCGGACGCTGACCCGAATATACAACATGACGGCGAGTCAGAGGGAGCAGGCGGGGGAGGAGAAACAGAAAGAAGCTGGAGCTGAAGCTGGAAGCTAGTAGTACTTACACTTACTTACTCCTACCGACACGCTTCAGTACCTTTCAAAAGTATCTCCTTCCCATCCTCCCATCCTCCCATCCTCCCATCCTCCCTCCCTTTCCACCTCCCTCCAACCTCAACCCTAACCTCCCACCAACCCACCCACCAAAATGACCCAACCCACCCCCCTCACGCCCCCGGCCATCCGCACCAAAATCGACCTCCTGATCACCAACCTCATCAACATCCACGACCCCACCGGCGAATTCCTCCTGCACCTGCCCGACGGCCGCATCATCGACACCAAATCCTGGCACGGCTGGGAATGGACGCACGGGGTGGGCCTGTACGGGATCTGGAAGTACTACGAGCTGACCGGCTCGGCGCAGCACCTGCAGATCATGCAGGAGTGGTTCGCGGCGCGGTTCGCCGAGGGCGGGACGACCAAGAACATCAACACGATGGCGGTGTTCCTGACGCTGGCGCACCTCTACGAGACGAGCCGCGACGCGACCTACCTGCCCTGGCTGGACGCCTGGGCCGAGTGGGCGATGCACGAGCTGCCGCGCACCCGCCACGGCGGCATGCAGCACATCACCTACCTCACCGAAAACCACCAGCAGCTGTGGGACGACACGCTCATGATGACCGTCCTGCCGCTGGCGAAGATCGGGCGCCTGCTGGGCCGCCCGCACTACGTGGCCGAGGCGAAGCGCCAGTGTCTGCTGCACGTGCAGTATCTGTTCGACGCGCGGACGGGGCTGTTTTTCCATGGGTGGCAGTTTACGGACCCCGAAGACTCCGGCACGCCGGGCCAGGGCCAGGGCCAGGGCCACCATTTCGCCGAGGCGCGCTGGGCCAGAGGGAATAGCTGGATTACGATGGTGATCCCGGAGATTGTCGAGTTGCTGGAGCTCGAGGACCACGACCCCATCCGGGTGCATTTGCTGAGCGTGCTGGAGGCGCAGTGCGCCGCCCTGAAGCGGTTGCAGGAGGCGGACGGGTTCTGGCATACCTTGCTGGATCACAGGGACTCCTACGTTGAGGCCTCGGCCACGGCGGGGTTTGCGTACGGGATCCTCAAGGCCGTGCGGAAGAGGTATCTCGGCAGGGAATACCGGGGGGTGGCGGAGCGGGCGATCGCGGCGGTCGTGGGCGCCGTGGACGCGCACGGCGAGCTGCAGAATACCAGCTTTGGCACCGGCATGGGCGACAGTCTGCAGTTCTACAAGGAGATCCCCCGCACGGCGATGCCGTATGGGCAGGCGATGGCGATCATGGCGTTGGGGGAGTATCTGCGGGGGATTTCGTATTAGATATCAAGAGATGAATGCAGTATAGATGTATAGATTCAAGAGCTGTTGACTGGTTGCCCACAATGTTATCATTCAAAGTCCAAGTAACAGCTCCAGCTACAGCTGACTCCTCAACCACAAGGTCTGCGAATTGCACCAGCCCACCAGCCCATGGACCCCCCACTCCGTGCCCATCCCGCTGGCCTTGTGGCCGCCAAACGGCACGTGGGGCGCGACGTCGAAGTGCGAGTTCACCCACACCGAGCCCGCCTGCAGCTGGTCGACGAGGCGGCGCGCGCGCCCCAGATCGCGACTCCACACCGAGGCGCTCAGCGCGTAGTCGGAGGCGTTGGCGCGGGCGACCACGTCGGCCTCGTCGGCCCATCGGAGCAGCGGCAGGATCGGCGCGAAGGGCTCCTCCTGCACCACGCGCGAGGCCTCGGGCGGGTTGTCCACGATCGTCGGCGGGATGAAGTACCCTGCCCCGAGGTTGGCGGGGACCTCGCCGGCGGCGATGGTCTGCAGGCCGGCCGCCCGGGTCGCGGCCAGCAAGTCGGTGGCCTTGTCGAACTGCATGCGGTTCTGGACGGGGCCGAAGAAGGTGTCCGGGAGGGTGCCGTCGCCGACCTTCAGGGCGCGCACGAACCGCACGAGCTTGTCGCGGAACTGGTCGTAGATCTGCTCGTGGACGTACAGCCGCTTGATCGTCATGCAGATCTGCGAGGAGCAGAGGAAGGCGATGGTGCCGATCTGTGGGTGATCGTCAGTGCTGGTCCAAGATATGCGACCTCCCCACTCCACCCGGCACTCCACAACCAAGATCCCAAGTCCACAATTTGAGACATCACCCCCCAACCACCGGACCTCCTCCGCCCACAGCCCAAACTCTCCTTCGTCACTCGCAAGGACAAAGTCAGAAAAGAAAAAAAAAAAAAAAAAAAAACATACCTTCTGCACCACGGCATCCACATCGACATCCTCACACACAATCGCGGCATCATTCCCCCCCAACTCCAGCGTCACCCTCTTCAACCCGCGCGCACACCCCTCCATCACCTTCCGGCCGGTGGCACTGGACCCGGTAAAACTAATCTTCTGGATGCCGGGATGCGCCGTCATCCAGGGCCCCAGCTCCTCCCCGCCACTGAGCACCTGGACCACCCCCGGCGGGAAGATCTGGGCGGCGAGCTCCCCCAGCTTCAGCGCGCAGTAGGGCGTGTAGGGGCTGGGCTTGACGAGGAGCACGTTGCCCGTGACCAGGGCGGGCACGATCTTGCCGACGGCCAGCAGGACGGGGAAGTTCCAGGGGACGATGGCGCCGCACACGCCGATGGGCACGTAGCGCTGGATGATCTGGCGGGCCGGGGTGTCTTCGATGATGTGCACCGGTAGATCGAGGAGGGGGATCTGCTGCGTCCAGGTGATGGCCATGTCGACTTCGATCTGCGCCTGGCTGAGCGGTTTGCCCTGTTCCTGGGTGAGGAGGGCGGCCAGGGTGGCCTTGTGGGTTGCGAGGAGGGCGGCGTAGGCTGCCAGGAGGCTGCGCCGGGTCGAGAGCGGGGTGGCGGACCATGCTGGGAGGGCGGATTGCGCGGCCAGCACCGCGGTGTCGAGGTCGATTGGGCGCGAGACGGGGACGGCGGGGTTCGGGCGGCCGGTGGTCGGGTTGGTGCTGTGGCGGGTTTCGGGGGTTGTGGTGCGTTCGTTGTTGATGATGTTGTAGAATTGCTGGGGTGGGGAGGTTAGTTAGGGTTGGTTGGGTTGGATTGGGGGGAGCGGGAGGGATTTGGGGATAGGGGAGAGGGGAGGAGGGAGTACAGTAGTGTCGAGCGCCATGGTGGTGGGTGAAGTACTGTTCAGTACTGTTCAGTACTGGATTTCTCGGATTATGGCTGCAGTGAGATGTTGATTACTGCAAAGTGACCGAGCAGAGGGAGAGCGTCAGACTTTATACCCTCCTCTCGGTTCAGCGCCGCCCACAAGCCGAGAAGACTCGTATAACGACGGGATAAACCTGGGGCTGCGATGCACGAGAAGCTTAACCCGTGTTGGACGAAGGCCTGCTCGGCTGCCGCATGCGTCGGTTATTGGATGCACGCCTCGCTTTGACTTTAGGATCGGCACGTGCGGGGTTACGCTGTGTTAAGTTCTTCATGTTTGGCTGCCGAGTTTTGGGGTCGTTGGCTTTTCCGACGGCCTCTGGACGATTATCCCAGCCCTCTAAAAGACTACCCGATACGTAGCCACCTCACATAGCCACCGCACTCAGCACTTGGCTTCGTCCCCAAGGTCCATCGGCCAAGACGGCCAAGACAATGGCGGCAAGCGAGGAAGAAAACTGCTGTCGCCGGGTCTGCCCTTCGCCGGTCTTCCCATTCTCGAAAATCGTCAATTCAGACAGACTGGCAAGATGAAGGACGAGAAGAACGAGAAAGACGAGATCGTGATCCAGGCAATTCCCACAGCCTCGCTGCAGGAAGCCGAAAGCTCGCAGGAGTTCCTCGCGGCGGAGCATGCGTTGACCTTCTGGCCCGCTCTGCGACAGCACTGGCCAACCGTGGCGTGGGCATTATTCATGAATTTGGTACGAAGAAGTCTCTCGCGTGCGGATCTTCTGCAGCATCGCTCAATTTCGGACACGGACTGACAATTGATAGGCGACGATCCTGAAAGGAATTGTATGTGCTATGCTACTCACCGACTGACCCTCGATCCACGAACTGACAGACCAGGATGGCGGCGTCGTCAAAGGCATAGTCGGACTGGACGTCTTCAAGCGAAACTACGGCTACGAGCATGAGGGACGCTACATTCTGGCCGCCCGCTGGCTGTCGGCCTTCAACTACGCCAACCTGCTGGGCGCCATCGTGGGGGCGCTGTTCGCCGGCCTCGCCTACGACCGCTTCGGCCCGCGCATCGTGCTCACGGGGTGCTCGTGTCTGTCGATCGGCTTCATCTTCGTGCAGTTCTTCAGCCAGACGCCCGCCCAGCTGTTCGTGGGCGAGCTGATCAACGGCTGCGTGATCGCCTTCTATCCCATCTGCGCCTCCGCCTACGTCGGCGAGGTGACCCCGCTGCCGCTGCGCGGGTTCGCCGCCACGATGACCAACCTGGCCTTCTCCATCGGCTCGTTGATCGCCTCGGGCATCCTGAAGGGGACCACCGCGCTCGCCAGCGACTGGTCCTACCGCATCCCCATCGCCACGCAATGGGCCCTGCCGTGCATCATGCTGGCCCTCGTGCCGTTCTGCCCGGACCCCCCGTACTGGCTGTGCCGGCAGGGCCGCCCCGAGGCCGCCGCCGCCTCGCTGCGCCGCCTCACCGTCCGCGGGGGCGCCATCGGGCCCCGACTCGCCCACATCCAGGAGACCCTGCGTCTGGAGGCCAGCTTCCAGCAGTCCCCCACGACCAGAAGCCTGGAATGCCTGCAGGGCCCCAACCGCCGCCGCCTCCTGATCTGCGTCATGGCCTACAGCATGCAAGCCTTCACGGGCAACGTCTTCTTCATCAACTACGCGGTGCACTTCATGGAGACGGCGGGGCTGAACGCCTCGCACGCCTTCTCGATGAACCTCGGCCTGAGCGCCCTCGGCCTGCTGGGCACCGTCCTGTCGTGGCCGCTGCTGGCCTACGTCGGCCGCCGCACCATGTATCTGACGGGCTGCTCCGCGCTGGCCCTGACGCAGCTGCTGATCGGGGTGCTGGACCTCGTCCCCCGCGGCACGGGCACGATCTGGGCGCAGTGCGCGCTCATGCTGGCGTGCACGCTGGTGTACGACGTCAGCCTGGGCCCGTTCTGCTACGTGCTGCTGGCCGAGGTCTCGTCGATGCGGCTGCGCGGGGTCACCATCGGGCTGGCCACGGTCAGCTGCTTCGTGTGGTCGGTGGTGTTCGCCGTGGTGATCCCCTACGCCATGGACGCGGACGAGGGCGACTGGGGCGGCAAGCTGGGGTTCCTGTTCGCGGGCACCAGCCTCGTCTGCGCGGCCATGTGTTTCTGGTGGCTGCCGGAGACGCAGGGGCGCACGTTCGAGGAGCTGGACGCGATGTTCGAGCAGGGGGTAGGCAGTCGGCGGTTTCGGCGGTGTGTGGTGGTGATTGGGGAGGAGGGGAGGGGAGCGGTGGTGGCGATGAGGGAGGAGGGCGGAGGGCGGAGGGCGTCGAGGGGGGTACTGAACGTTGCACCGAGGCAGCAGGCGTTGGGAGATGTGTTGTGAGGATGTGCAGTGCAGTGTTCGGGAAAGAAAGAATACGTATTCAGAATACCAGAGAAGAATTAATTAGTCGGTGCAAGAGCCTAAAGAGGAAAAAGCCGAGGAACTTGCAAGTCACGGCCACTGCTGAGATTAATAATCTAGTCCCGTTCGGGCAAGTCTGCAGAATGCCGGGCGAAAATTTGAGTGCTGACGGCTGACTCAGCCGCCCCTTGTGCAGTTTTCATGAGTGCATCGTCTCGAGTCATTAAGCAAGCATCACTTCAAACTCAATCCCCAATTGACTTCCACCTGTTCGCCCCAATTTTGCTTCACGCTGCACGGTAATCATGACTTCATGGCTCTCGCCCACCCCATCTCCTCTGGTGGCGCCAGAACTGCCGCACCGTCTCGCAGTGCCTTAGATCCGTGCCACTGCATAACTCCGGTAATCCAACCTTCGAGACCACTGACCTGCCCCATCCGGCCCGGTATCGACACCCTGAAGGAGCAGCTGCCCCGAATTTCATCCGTCTGGAAACTCTGCCAGCTCCACTCGCCCGCCGTGCCCTGGTTCGCTTCTCCGCCTGCGAATGGTCGTGACGAGGACGGTTCCCCCGGGGCCCTCACTGTATTTGGCAGGTACCTAGGCAAAAGCTGGAGTCCAGTCTCTCGAGAAGCTTCTTCGACGCCCCTTGGAGCAGCTTCGTCAGCAACCTGGATGCTTGATAATCGGCCCTGGGGGCGTTGCCCCACTGGGAGCAGCCGTATAAAGGTGGTGCGGCCGCTGCTGTCACCTCACTGGCACAACAGTCCCCTAAACACACACACACACACACACCATGTCTGAAAACAAGGCCCTCATCTTCAAGGAAATCCCCACGGGCTACCCCGTGCCGGGCCAGCACATCGGGCTGGAGCCGGTCTCGTACGACGCCAACGCGGCGGCCCCCGAGAACGGCATCTTCGTGCAGTCGCTCTACGCCAGCTTCGACCCCTACATGCGCGGCCGCATGCGCCCGGCCGAGGTCAAGTCGTACTCGCCGGCCATGGCGCTGGGCCAGCCCATCGACAGCGCGGTGATCGGCAAGGTGCTCCGCTCCAACAGCGCGGCCTACCAGGAGGGCGACCTGATCCAGGGCTACCTCCCGATCCAGTCGTACATCGCGGTCGGCGCGGAGCGGCTGCCGTACGTCAAGAAGCTCGAGAACCCGCTGGGCATCGAGGACATCCGGGTGTTCATCGGGGCGCTGGGCATGCCGGGGCTGACGGCGTACTCGTCGCTGTACGAGATCGGGCAGCCCAAGAAGGGGGAGACGATCTTCGTGTCGGCGGCCAGCGGCGCCGTGGGCCAGCTGGTCGGCCAGCTGGCCAAGCACGAGGGCCTGACGGTCATCGGCAGCGTGGGCTCCGACGAGAAGCTCGACTACATCACCAAGGAGCTGGGCTTCCACGGCGGGTTCAACTACAAGAAGGAGAAGCCGGCGGACGCGCTCAAGCGCCTCGCCCCGAACGGCATCGACATCTATTATGAGAACGTCGGCGGCGAGCACCTCGAGGCCGCCCTGGAGGCGATCAACAACTTCGGCCGCGTCGTCGTCTGCGGCATGATCTCCGTGTACAACGGCACCCCCTACCCGATCAGCAACATCTCGTACGTGCTGACCAAGCGGCTGACCATGCGCGGGTTCATCGTCAACGACCCCGGCATGGGCGACAAGTACGCCCAGGAGCACCAGGAGAAGGTGCAGAAGTGGATCAAGGAGGGGTCGTTCAAGGCGCTGACGCACGAGACGGTGGGGATTGAGAACGCGGCCGAGGGCTTGGTGGGGATCTTTTATGGAAAGAACAAGGGCAAGGCTGTGTTGAAGTTTTAGGCCGTCCAGATCATACTATACCATACCACAACTACTACTGAACATAGACACGAATGAACTAAACATTAATCTCACCCTTCAGTCAAACATAACCCTAAATCCGCTCATCCAAACACAACCAATCTACCAACCCCAGAATCACCATCCAAGCAAGCAAAGCAAAGCAAAGCAAAGCTACGCAAAGCTAGATCTTCTCCCGATGTGCGCCCCCCCTCTTCCCGGGGCTACTCCCCCTCTCCCCTCCCTCCCCCTTCCTCCTCTCCCCCTCCCGATGAAAAACCTTGGTCTTCCCCCAAACCACGCCCACCACATACACCGCGCCCACCAGCCCCGCCACAACACAATATACCACCACCGCGGCCACGGGCACATTCCGACTCCCGACCCCGCCCATGCCCCGGCCCGCCAGCCCGAACCCCAACCCCCCGTTCACCATCCCGAGCACAATCGCCCCCCGCCCCACCCACCGATGCACATACCCGAACACACTCTTGGCGCCCTCGCGCCGCCAATGCCGATGTTGCAGGTATCCCGCCAGTGGCTGGAAGAGCACCAGGACTCCGACGAGGATGATCCCGATGATCGGGTGCGCGTGTTTGAGGGTGGAGACCGTCGTGGCGAGGTACACGCCGGTCCCCAGGCCGACGATGGTGAGACAGAGGGTGAAGAGCTGGAGGGGCGCGTGGAGGGCGGGGATGTTGTATCTGAGTCCTAGGGGGATGGGGAGGGCGAAGAGTGGGAAGAGGAGGAGGAAGGCTGTGCCCATTAGGGTGCCGTGGACGATGAGGAGGGAGCGGGTTTTGGTTTGGGCGGGGGTGCTTCCGCTGTGGTTCTGGGGGGTGGAGGTGGAGGTGGATGCGGAGGTTTTGAAGGGGTTGAATTCGGTGCTTGTGGTGGTGTTTTCCGCGGAAGGGGCCGAGAATTGCGCTTTGGTGAGGTCGAGGGTCGTGCTGCCCATTTCGGTGTGGATGGTTATTGTTTCCTGCGGGGAGGAGGAGGGGAGCGGGTCGCCGGTGTGGTAGGCCCAGATGAAGGGGGCGGAGGGGGCGGAGGGCGGGTAACGGGTGGAGGAGGGGGAGGACCAGCTGGCTAGGCAGTTTGTGCAGAGGATGTTGGCTTCGATGGTGTCGTCGGTGAGACTGCTGCTGGGGAGGAGGGTGGCGTTGGCCAGCTCGGTGTATTGCGGCTCGATGTGTCCGCGTCCCAGGCGCGGCGAGAGGGTCAGGTTCGTGGCGGACGCGCCGGCGTAGACGACGAAGATGTTGGCGCCCGCCATCCCCGTGCCCTGGCCCAGCGCCACCCATTGCAGGCTGCGCGGGGCCCGGATCTGCAGGTAGATCGCGCCGGCGTTGTGCTGCGTCGTCGTCTCCGGGACGGTCACGCTGTAGGTGAGGTTCGGGTGGGCGGTGGACGGGGAGAAGGTCACGATGTTGGCCGTTGCGAGGGGGGCTGGACTCTGTTGTTAGACTTCTTTCTTCTGTCTTCTGTGCAGGTGTGCACTCTCAGCCTGGGTCGGGAAACACACCTAACCCCAGAAATGTCTGGAGGAGTCGAAATGCCCGCATGGTAGACTGGGTCTGGGAGACGGAGACCGAGACGGAGACGGAGACACGAGTGGACGTTCACTCTCCCTCACCCCCAGTGGTAGGGCCTGCATCCTTTATATTGATCCAGCGGTCAGGTTTCATTGTGGCTGGCCCCTGTCTTGGCTACCGTAGGCATCTCTGTAATTCCTGTACAAACCAATTATCGAAGGCATGGGGGGGTCGATCATCATCGTATCGAACCTGTCTCACCCGGAACGTGATTCCCCCGTCCGTCTGTCCAAGGTACTTCGTACTGGTGTATCTGTCCTACTTCCTTGCCCAGCTGCTGAGACCGCAATTTCATGCGCAACGCACCAATCTGCGTCTCGCAATTGGGAAATTACTACCTATTCCCCCTTGGCTCGCTTGCTTTTTTGAGGAGGACTGACACTGACAGCGTCCAATTCCACGACCGAAATCCCCTTGCGCGCGCCCTTGCATTAGGGTTCTTGGGTCCGGTCCATCTTTCTCCGGTTACGTCCCCCGGTCGGGGTGGGGTGGACCTTCAGTGAGGGGAGGATTTGTCTGGCAAGGGGGATTGTTTTTTGACGAGGGATAAGTTACGGGGAATGAAATCACGATCTTTTGTTTGAAGGGCAGTGACAAAGAACCGCAGAGCTGGGTTGGAAGGACGGGGTTTGTTTGGGATTGGGTGTGGGTGTGGGTGTGGGTGGTTCAATAAAAAAGCATTGATGCATTGATGCATTGATGCATTGAATATCAATGGTGCGCCCCGCTGGGATCTGCAACTAGGCCCGTTTGGGGGAACTCGGAATGGACCCGTGTGCTTCCCAGGTTTCCATCATATTCCCGTTCGCGATTGAGTAGCGTAGCCAGGTAGGAAACTTTGAGTGAGAGCTCAGTCATCCTCTAATCTGACCACCTTATTGCTAGGGTCTATGGAGTACTCCGTAGAGGACCCTCAATTGAGAAAAGTGCATGATGTCATGAGATATTCTGCAAGATACTACTAGGATAATACGAGAATCCACGACAATCCACGACAATCCACGTCACCTTCTCTGCGTGAAGAATCCATCCCACGGTTGGATGCTCAATGGCCATGAAGGTGATGGGCCGTCAGCTGGATCGACTAGCACAATGAAATCGTGGTTGACATCCCCCAACCCACGGTCGGAACCCGCTATTAATATCATTAAGTCGGATGCGAAAGTGATCATCTGCACATGGCGGTGGTTTGACAAACAACGGCCAACGTGGGTTTCAGATCGCTAACGGCGCCGCGTCATGTCTTTATTGTATGTATCCTTTATTGTATACAGGCATACACAATGGTTTCTTCGAAGCACCACGTTTCCTTCGACCATTTTCCAAGCCCATTCTCTCCTAACAGAATTTAGAGTTGAACATCATGTCTGCCTAGCAAGCATAAGATTTGGGTTTCCGACGCCGAAGAGCGTACGTGGATACGAATCCCCAAGCCCTTGGCGCATAAAACATCCGTGGTGTCGAAATGTCGCTCACGCCCGAAGGCATCTCCACCACGTCAAACAACCTTCCAGAAAAACGCACAGCCTCAATTTCCGTCTTACACCTTTCCACTCGACAGAGCACCCCGCCTCACCTCCTTCCGCATAAACACCTCCCACAGCCAAATCACCTCCCCGTCCAAGCTCCGCTCCTCGTACCGCGGCTCCTCCTTCCACCCGACATACCCGGCCTTCTCATACCACTCCTGGATACTGAACGGGGGCACGGGCTGGCCCATCCGCTCCCAGATCCCGCGCCACTCGCGCCCCTCCTGGTACCGGTACTTCTTGCTCAGCGCCGTCAGCGCGACGAACTGGCAGGCGGGCTCGCGGGCGGCCTGCTCCTCGATGAGCGTCACGGCGTGGCGGCCTACCCCGGCGGACCGGTACTCTGGGAGGACGAAGAAGGTCTGCAGGGCGAGGATGGATCTGTCGGATCGCGCGAGGTCCGGGTCCGGGGGGTTGCTGTAGGCGTCTAGGGAGATGTGGCCGGCGCGGATGGTGTTCTTTGGAACGTCAGGGGTGGGATTGGGGCTGGGGATGACAATCCAGAAGAAGTTCTTCAGGCCTTCGGTTTGTTTGGCGTGCCATTGCGCGAGGGTGGTGGGCTGGTGGTCCCAGCCGCAGAGGGTGCGTTGGCGTTGGAGTTCCGTGTGTTGCGCGGGATCGGTTAGGTTGATGGGTTCGAGGGTGCAGGGTGGCATTGGGTAGGTTTGTGGTGTGGATGACAGGCTGGAGTTGCTGGTGATGTTGATGGTATATTGTGTTGAGGATATGTGCCCGAGTACAAGGGGCTGGTGGTTGGTGAGTAGATGTAGCCTCTAGACTAGTGCTGACAGTTTATATATAGAATAATCCCAGGCATCATGTCAATGCCAAGAGCACAATGGCGTGATACACAGCTTGGATTAACTCCAGGCAAACGCATCATTAGAAACGATTGCACCTTGATAAAAACGTCTACACCGGCATCGGAATCAACCGTCTATGCCGGACTCCGAGCCGCGCTGCCGGCGATAAGCGATACGCGATACGCGATAAGATAGTTTTCTCACCATTCTTGCCTTTATTCCTGACCATCATCCTACCATCACCACGTCTTATGCTTCGTCGCAACGGAAAGCCGACCTCGTGCGAGCCATGTCGGCTCTCCAAGGTCCGCTGTGACCATGCGACTCCCATCTGCCGACGGTGCCAATCGCGTGGCAATGCCAATCAGGTAGGTACTGTACAGTCCAGATGACTCATTTCTGTCTCATTGCTGACAACGACAACTGCAGTGCTATTACCACCCCGCCCCCTTGACGCGGGTCAAGGATGGGGGCATTGCGCGCCCTCGTGCGACACCAAAACGAGGAGCAATCCGCCAATCTTTGTTGGAGGTTCCCGACCTAAGTCCGACGCCGGAGCTTGCAGCGCCAGACCAACCGCAGACAGACCCCGAGACCAAACACGGGCAAGACTCCGAATTCCTGGGCTCGACAAGCTACCTTTCCGTGTTCAAAGAGACCCCGCGCGGGATCTCCGGCAAAGCGAACCGGTCCCTCTACGCCGAGTTCGAGTACTGGCGCACCCAGCATGCCTACGCGTCCTCGCGGCTGATACGCCTGGCCTCCGCCATGGCCTTCCACCGCGACCAGATCGAGTGGTACCATCGCGTCAGCCGGTTCACCGTGGTGCCCGCTCCGATTATTTTGGATTCGCTGGACCGAGTGCAGGCGTACACCGACCGCAACCCGTGGGACGTCACGGGCAAGTGGAAGGAGCTCTACGAGACCATCACCGCCGCGACCGGACGGCCCCTCGAAGTTTCGAGGGACATGTCGCCCGGCGACTTCTACGCGCAATTCACCGGCCCGAACCTCCGGTGGGAGTTAATTGCCCTGGTATTCGCCTCTTCTGGAATCAGCGCCATGGTCCGGTACCCTGGTCACCACGTTGTGGAGCTGGCGCACGGGGAGACGATGACCGTGGAGACGTTCATGAAGGAGATGGTCCTGGCAGGGAACGCGTGCATCGAGGTCAGTAAACAGTTCGGGCACGTCAATGATCTGATCCTGTGGGCGCGATACATGCATGCTCATCTGGCGATGGAGGTGCTGGGCGACACTAGTAAGTGCCTTGGCGGTTGTGTATACACAGCACCACACTCACGAACGAATAGGTGAACGACTCTACAGCCTCTTCGGCGACCTGATCTCCAACATCTACACCATCGGCCTTCACCACCAGCCCTCGCGCGACGTGCCTTTTTTCCTGGCGGAGACGAGGAAGCGCATGTTGGCCGTCACCCATCGCACGGACAAGAACCTCGCCACGCTGATGGGGCGCCCTCCGCGTCTTCCGCACCAATATTGCGATGCAGCCCCACCGCTAGACATCGCGGATGAGGATCTCTTCCTCGACGGGCCGTCCCTCAGCGCCGTACTTGCCGGTCTGGACGACCAAGGCTGGCACCGCGAGAGCAGCTTCATGCCCGCGACGGTCATGCGCATCCGCCACTTCCTGTCCACGCTCCGCGAACAAGTCCTGGAACTTTCCTTGGGCAACAAATCCGCTGCCGACTACGGCGATCGTGTGCAGTATGTCCCGTAGCCCGTTCCACTTTCAAGTCTCCTCTTCTCCCTGGTGTACTCCCTATACTAACCAAACTAAGAAAAACATACCACCTCTGCCAGAAAGTCCTCACACAAATCCCCACCCGCTTCCATTACACCCCGCACTGCTGGAACACCCCCCAGAGCGAGCTGATGGAATCCCTGGCGCGGATCCTCGTGCAGTTCGACTACCAATTCAGCGTCCTGCACCTGCAGCGCATCCGCTGCAAGACCAACCGCGCCAACGCCACCGCCGACCTGATGAACACCGCCCTGCAGGTGCTGTCGATGGTCATGGACCTGACGCGCATGTTCCACTCCCACGAGATCCAGCGCCAGTTCGCTTGCATCGTACGTTACCCACTCCAACCCACCCCCCCTCGACCCGAAATTACAACACTAATGAAGAGAGACAAAAGTACCTGAGCTACGGCATCCCCGCTGCCGGCATCCTCGTCACCGAACTGCACAGCCACACCCTCGCCAACCGCGCCTTCCCGGCGGCCACCCCGCGCGCCGAGATCATCCGCTCGCTCAGCGTGCTCCTCGCCTGGGTGCAGGCCACGCAGCTGCCGCCGTCGACCACCGCCGTCGCCGCCAGGGAGCTGACCAAGGTGGTGAGTCGGTTGTTGGACGATGCGCTGAATCATCAGCAGGGGGATGCGGGGGGAGCCGCCACCACGGATGGTGATGTGGTCGCTCCGATGATTCGGGACTCGGGTGAGTTCCTCCCCCCGGGGTTTGTTGAGGGCTTCCAGCTTCCATCCGAGGCGCTCGGGGTGGGACTCGCCTCTGAGGGGTTCTTGAGTTGGCTGGATGAGTTGGACTTGGGGTTGATCTCGGGGGAGGGGTTGGTTTGATGCCCCGTATGGCGAGGTGGAACGTGAATCATGTTTTGTCTGTGTGGGGCTCTGTCGAATAAACGATCACGGCGGGATAATCTGTGCCGTTGTGGATATTACAGGAATTGATGATGCGACCTTGCACAGGAACACCGAGTAACGTAGTGGTAGGTGGACCATGTAAGCCAGTCGGCCACCCATGTATGATCCATGCAATAGCTCATTTTGATCTTCAAATATCTCAACAATCTCATAGTTCTCCCAGTGCTGGTGACTGACCACGCGTTCTACTTTGTGACTCCCACCATCGAGAAGATTGTCGCATCAGTATTCGTCGGGCTCAAAACGGACCATCCTCTTTACATCGCCATTTCAGTTTAGCTAAGTGGAATAGGATCCGTCAAGCGAGCAGAGCGCATGCTATATCGGGACGAAACTAGAGAGACCTATCATCAAAACCTCGACGACTACGACAAGACGAATCTGGAGCCATATAGCTGCATTGAGAGCAAGCTGATCAGGCCCAGCCTGAAGCCAAGCACCAGTCACCCGGAGCAGACAAGGATGGCTTGTCGTTCCGGTGTTAAAACCCACTTCCTGCCGCCCTGGCATGCTGGTCGCTCGAAACATCGCATCGGATATTTCGAAGACTCAGCTTCATGGTCCGAGCTCTGCCATTGCCATCTCGGAAGTCAGCCATGAGTAGAAGTCTTCCGTCGAGGATCTTGCCCAGGTGGGTTTTGTCAATCTCCTGCCCGTCCTTCCGTATCTGTGACATGAACACCTTGAGAAACCGGAGGGGGCTTTTGGTGAACTTGGCTCCTGCCTCCTGATGCTCCACGATGAACCCATCCGCGGCGACAGCCAGGCCCTCTGGTGCGGCAGTGGATGCCACCCCCAGGAAGCGGCATATCTCACAATACTCACGGTACGAAGAAATATAAAGCTGCCCCGCAAAGAGGTTCAGTTGGATGCGTAGGCTCTCAGGGATTCGCAGGGGCCTTGGGCTCAAGACCGCTGGAAGCGGATATAGATCGAACTTATCGATAGGGTACGAGCTCTGGTTTTGACGAGGTGCATAGAGATGCATCCTTACTGTGCCCGACCCCCGGATGTCGGAATGAAGCGTGTTCGCTTCATACGGGCTGATGATCACTATCTGCCTCACGGGCGTTCCGTCCTTGGAGGGGTGGTCGTTGCTCAGCAGGACCCATTCAACCGCACGCTGGTAACTATCTCGGGCAGACGATTTCTCGGGCAGTCGGACCGTTCTGGCGAAATCCTGGGTGACAAGGAGCTCCGATGGGAACTGGCCCACATCCAGGTATTTGGCCGCGGAGGTATTTGCCAACACCCGAAAAGCTGGTTTCACGGCGGTGGACGATGCACCCAGATGTCCAGTGGCCACGAACGAGCGTATGTCGGGATGCACGGAATGCAATTCCGGCTCGGCAGGGGCCGGACGTTGAACTTGTCGTTCCTGCTCAATCTCTGGTGCTAGCTCTCGCTCTTGCTCTTCCTGGAGCTGCGCTGCAGAGAACTTCACCGTGGCGAACTCACGGCATCGGTCCAGTATGCGACACAAGTCCGCATCGTCGGTGCGCTGGGGGAAAAGAGCTAGATCATTCCGACGACCAGGCCGGTATCGCTGTTCTAGCGACGGGGATTCCGGTTCTAGAAACCCCTCTGCCTGACATCTGGATATCGAGGTTTGCCCGTCCTGTCGCAACGCCCGCCAATGACGGGCCTGGGTCTGATATCGCTTTCCCTGCACGGCCCACAAGGGCATGCTGCGTTGCATATCGTCCCAGCTCTCCGAGATTGCCCAGCGGAGCACGTCTGCTACAGTAAGATCAGATTCGTGGGACCCCCCACAGAGAGTCAGAATTTTGAACTTGATCTCTTCCGGAATGCAAAACACCACCGATTGGCCTTGCCCTAATTTTCTCATCCTCATACATGCTGTGGCAGCTGTTAGTGAAAGGAACACTTGGCCGTTCTCTTGGGACTCCCTGACCTTGAACCAGCTTGTCTTTGGTGATACTCGGTCCCAGCGTCACCGCCGCCCGGGTTTCCAGGGGTAGCATCAGATCAATCCCCCTCGTGTGTGCTTCGTCAAGGAATACAAGGCATTGGTCGAGGTGCCTTTCGAAGGGTGACGTCCGCAGCGGTTCGACGAGTCCAGTCCGGTTCACCACGGTAATCTCATCGTCATCGTTGATAAAGACCACGGCCTGCGTTCTGCTATCGTCACCGATCATCTCCAACCAGGTCCTGGCAACCTCCAAGTTACTTAGCTCCAATATCCGAGCTCCAACGTCCAGGATCACCCGTACGGCTGGATCCAGTCCCGCCACCATATCCAGAAGGACCTGCGCATCTGACTGGGACAGGTCATCTCGCGCCGGGATTAGGGCAAGGCCGGTCTCTGGTCGAAGGAGATATTCGAGAACTAACGCATTGGTGTGATTCTGATCGGGAAGATCCAGCTGCTCCACACTGAGGGGAAGGGTGACCCGGGAATCGTTGGTCCCGCTGAAGCCGACGGTGGGATGGCACTTGACCTCACCGATATCCCATCCGGATGAAGATAGTTTACTCGGAAACTCCCGCAGGCCTTTGGCGAAAGTAACATGAGCAAGGAAGTAATCGATGACGCCTTTCGCAAAGCGAAGACACGGGAAAATGCATTCCACGCAAAGGAGCCGATCCTGGAGATTAACGCCCATCAGTTGGCAATAGGCGGAGGGAAGATTCGGGGCATCATCGACCCATATCTGATACTCCACGTCAGCCTGGTCCGATCCGACCAAATGGTCGAATGCCTGAAATAGATCGTCGTCGCCGAGTCCTTGATAGTAATAACTCAGGCACGTGAGCACAATGACAACATCAGGGTGACTGAATTCCGCCCGTGGCGCAGGGTTATCCTTGGCACGAAACGGAACCGCCAGCCTCGTGGGGGGTTGGCGCGAGCGATCAAGTCCGTAGTTGACTCTCCACCGTCTTGGTCCCAGGCAGAATGCCAGGACGTTGCCAGCTAGTAGACCCCGAAGTAGTAGGAGAGGATCCTTCGTGCTGTCGGCCCACAGGCCAGACGCATCTGGGGTTTCGACCAGCGCAGTCTCCTGTTCTGACGGGTCAGGCTTAAGGCAATAAGCAGTGGCCGCGCGTCGTTCTGCTTCCGGCTGCCTGGAAATGGGCAGGTTGTCGATGCCGTAGTGGGAGATATGGTCCGCGATGCGTTCAACCAGCTGGTGCGCGGCATCTGCTCGGAGCAACCTTATTCTGGGGAAGCCCCCTGGATGTGGCTCCTCCACCTCAATTGACCGCGGGAGCTGTGTTTTGATGACCGGAGCATATTTCCTCACCAGGCCGAGCATCTCTTGAATCAAATTCCACCGCTGTGGACTGAGCTCCAGAGGACGCTGGGTCCCCATTGTGTAGATCAGCTCGAACTTCACACTGAAGTTTTCGTCGCTTTCATCTACCAGGTCCCGCGAGGAGGTCTGGAAGAAGTCCAGGATCCGAAGAAGACATACGCCAACCGCCTCTCTCCCCGTGATGAAGCATTCTAGGCACATTAGCTTCAGGGATAAGAGGTGCTCGGGCTGAACCAGAAGAACTCCGCCCTCCGCCATGCAGTCTTTGCACATCCATTCGATCTCCTCCGCCTCAGATACACCAATCCGCAACGAGCGTGACACGGGGAGATGATAAACCCGCCGACCTAAAAGGCCCCCTAGCTTGGAAACGAGCATCTGAAACATCTGCCGCGACTGTGGCTTGGCGACAATGATGCGAATTAGGCAACGGTCTGCGAGCGCGGCTGCCACGATGGGGATGATGACGGAAGACTTGCCCTCGCCCATATTCAGTTGCATGACGACATTATGTCCGGGCGGCGCAGTTCTCATGCGTCGCGCAATCTGTTCTTGAACGTCCCGAATCAACAATCCACTCTCAATCTCCAGCAACAATGACTCGGGGAAATCCATTGGGTTCCAGTTCGTGTGACCTGCGTTCTGCAGTTCGCGGGCTAGATCCCCGCGATGACCCATCAAGCTGACAAGCCTCTTCGCCCGCTGGAGTGCCGTGATGGAACATCCATACGCGATCAAGCATTTCTTCCAGGGCTTGGGCAGGTGGCTCCAACGGTTGCGTGTCAGCTGATGGAGAAGGAGCTGTGATGATACCCTCGGCCAGACGTGGACATGTGCGAATGTTCCCAAGATACTGCGCGGCGTGTGTGACCCTGGACGTAGCTCTCCTGTCATCGTATCCGTATCTGAAAGCATCATCCTCGACATGATGGAGTGGCTTATTTCCTCATGGTACTCTTGGCAGCGAAGCAAATGATGGCAGAGGACGGTCTCAAGAATGCCGTCATCAGGCAAGGGATGATCCGTATCCTGGATACCCTGCAGGGACGTCACACTGGCCCGTAGTCTCTCGATGTATCGCTTCTGGAACTGAGATCGCGCCTGTGGTTCCAGGGCATCGACCAAGCTCAACAGACGGAGGTTTGGGTCAGGAGCAGTGCGGCTGCCCGACCAAGGCGGTAGAGTTGGTGGTTCCATTTCCACCGCCGGGGGTGGACCAAGAGACTCGTCCACTATGTCATCCACGGAGATGAAAGCATGGCGTCGGTCCGTGGGGCTTTTCAAGCACGGGTACAGACATGGCGGGGTCGCGATGGATTGGGCCTCCTGGCTTGTGTAGACGGATGCAACCCTATCAAGATACTGCGTCAGCTCTCGGTTATCGAACCAAGTTGAAAATGCGGCCTGTGAGATCTGCATCGCCTTCTGAGCATCGAAATAATCCGCGAATGCCGGCTGTTCACCAGATATGGGAGGTGGTGAGGGGCATGGGGTCGGCCACTGTCCCTGGAGGCCGGCTATGAAATGAGCTAGTGCCTGTTTCCGCTTTGTCTTTCTCAACTTCGCCACGCGCGCATGGAACGTGCTATAGGATTCCGCTGGTCCGGGAGAGAGGGCGTCTTCGGGGGTTGCGCT